GCGGTGTTCTCACTGGCTGGGGGGGCCTCGGGGTGCTCTGGTTCCTCTCACCACTCAGGGGCGTGCTGGTCAGGTCTGACTGGTTCCACAGAGATACCGTAGGATCACCTGCTCCCCACCTCGTCAATTGCGCAAGATCAGCTCTAGTTATGGGACTACACAGACGGGCCACCTTTGTACAGCATTCATGATCTGGCAGTCGAGCCAGGTCTTGCTCTGCAGTAAGAGTGGTTGCAACACTTGGGTGCACGGAGAAAAACAACATGTCTGCCAAGTGCTGAACGGAACAAGCTCTGTCATGATGAATGCGCTAAACCAGTCTGGCTCAATTAAGATTTTTTAAATTATTTAAACCCTTAATAAACAGTTTATTTTATTAACTGGAAGGAAGGAAAGTATGTTGCGGTTTTGCCTGGTGGGCATTGAAAGAGTCGGTGTGAAGTTAATACTCCCTTTTTTCTCATGAAGTCAGTTCTTAAATGTGGTGTGAAATGTACAGCAAAGCTCTTTCTACTCCAAATGTCTGGAACATTAGCACACCAATCTAAATTCTCACCCCTTATCCAGTTCAGGGTCACAGGGGAGCTGGAGCCTGTCCCAGCAAGCAACGGGCACGAGGCGGGGGCAGGGTACACCCTGTAAGTGACATCAGTCCATCGCAGGGCACACACAGACAGGAAAGCTCTAGGCATCATCAAAGACCCCACACACCCCAGCTACAGACTCTTTGACAGCATTCGGGCCCGGACTGCCAGACTCAGAGACAGTTTTTACCCCTGCACTATCAATCTATGAAACTCCCAGCCTCTCTCGCCTCTCACCTACGATCTGAACCTCACAGTGCCTTCTCTCTTACCAAAACTCAAACACACATTGAAATCTACCTCCACCTCACATGTCAAGGAGCTCACTCCCCATCATTTTTTATCCTTTATTTCATTCTGTTGATGTATGATTTTGCTCATCTTATGTTGTTTTGCACATTACCTGTTACCTGTTGTTGTTTTGCACATTGCCTGTTGTCTCTGTCTTTCTTTTCCTATACAATTGTGTTGTTGTTGTTTTTTTTGTGTGCTTCTTACCATCTGAGAGCTAGCTAAATAGCATTTTGTTATACCGTATACCTGTATATGAGTATAATGACAATAAACTTGAACTTGATCATGGTCAAATTTTCCAGAAGTCGGTTAACATGCCAGCATGCCTTGGGACTTTGGGAGGAAATGGGAGCAAACCCACACAAACGTGGAGAGAACATGCAGACTCCACGCAGATAGTCCAAAATTGAGCCCAGGGCCCCATCACTAAGAAGCAGCAATGCTACCCACTGCACCTCCACGCTGCACTGCAAGCACAGTACGTCTTTAATTTCTGAAGCCCTGCTGTTCCCCCTTTCAGCACCTACAGCGGGAGAGTGTTCCGCCTGACTCTGCTCACACTGGCCGCCTTGCTGCTGGTCCCTCTCCTGGTGGCCATCCTCCTGCTGGAGTCGCCCATCCAGCCTCAGCGTTTGAGGTAAGACGGGCAGCAGTTCAGCTTCCCGATGACCTTTCATAGAGCAGGAAGATGTAGACGCAACAGAACTGCCTTTCTGATGCAAGAGAATCCTGCCTTGGCATCAGAGGGTATAATTCATTCCAGACTGCAGCACAGAATCATTTGAGTCTTTTCATTCTAGTCTCAGAAATGAGCGGATGGTTTTCTTGTGTTGAGCTGTACAAAGGACCAGAATAGTTTAATTCATTTTCGCTCAGTATTATAAGTGTATTTTACATTTAGTGCTAATTCTACTACTACTACTGTATTTCGACTGAAGTCCATCTGTAGGCAGGCAAGTTTGGATGCACACATTTCTCAACTGTTTTGTTGAAATGTTCTGTTGGCTTTTTCAGAAGAGTTGCTAAATGCGGCAATATTTCACAATGTTGAGCGAAGACCTTTTTTGTACAATTTCAGCTTTAGTGAACCTCCCCTCATGTCTGGCTGTTTGGAGCCAAACTTTAAGCTGAGACAAGCGGAGAGGTTATTTGAAGGCCAGCTGATTGGGCCAGAGTCCATTGCCAATATAGGAGGTAGGTATGGGACAATGCTGACATAAGAGCTGGGGTCTGCCAATAACCACTCACTTTCTGTACACTCCTGACATCAAGACACGTCTCTTCTTAAGAATTCAGAGATCGTGGTCTGTTTTCATTACATCTGGACATTCTGGGGTAAAAGGCAATATTTCTTAACTCCCTTGTTGGTACTTTACCAAGAAATGTCTCTGTTGATGTCGTGGTCCCAAAGATAATTATTTTACTAAAGTGGAAGATGTTTAATACATTAAAAGGTTACTATTTTTTAAAATTATTTCAGTTATGTGACTTTTGATTTTCCACCTTGTCTCCAGATGTCCTGTATACAGGAACCGCAGATGGGAAAATTGTCAAAATCGAGGGCAATACCATCCATGTTGTAGCAACACTGGGGCGACCTCCTTGTGGTAAGGGTGTAAGGACTAAGTTATGTATAAGGTGCATGGTAAAAGGATGTTACTATAGCCTGATCAAAAATGAACGAAATTAGGTTGGAGTTATATACTGTGTTTCTTATCTGCGTAGAAGAGCAGTATGAAGGTGTGGTTGTCATTTGCCCAGTTATTTTTTTCCAGAGATGCCTGACACAGGTTTCAAAATTGATTTTCATTCCTGCTTGGCTCTCATTATGCATAATTGAGCCTTTTATTGACCTCTCAGTAGGATTGGTTTGTTTTCACCCCCTAAATATGCCAGAGGTGACCTTTTAGCCATTCCAATTCATCTCCAAACTTTGCATAGAAGAAAGAGATAGATAAAAGTGCCAATCAAGCAACACATTGATTCAATGAAGTAGAGAGCTGGGCTGCATGGCAAATCAGTGGGCATGGGGGGTCCCCAGGACCAGAGAAGACTGCGCAGACCGAGCCAGGTCTGTTGTCTCTCTGTCAGTCATGAAGTCCTGCTCACTGACTTTACAGGGTCTCGAGACGATGAGCCAACCTGTGGACGACCCCTGGGGATTCGAGTCGGACTGAATGGCACCCTCTTCGTGGCCGATGCCTACCTGGGACTGTTTGAAGTCAATCCAGTCACAGGTCTGTGGGATGGGGGCGGCCTTTTCTGGGGGCTTTTCTTCCTGGGAGAGAATGTTCCCTTTCATTTGAAAAGTAAAATGCTAAAAATCTTGAAAAGCACAGCTGAAACTCGGTTTCCTCGGTGCTTTACGACTGTAACCATGCCAGACTGCGTCTGCGTTCACACTGCAGGTCTTTGAGTGATGGTCTGGCTGTGTGTGAAAGGTATTTGCCTGTTTGCCTCAGGCTGTTATGTCAATATTGCACACAAAAGAAAATACCAGGTGCCAAATACCAACTGTTCAATACTGGGAAAATACTCTGCGTTAAATAACATAAAGTTGCATGGTTTTGTCTGTAAGAGGGTTGCTTTCCCAGCTATATTTATTCATTAGTTATTTATTTGCTGCGTTTGCTGTTTATTTGCAGCAGGAAAGGATCGTTGGAACATTTTTTACGATAAATTGTTTTTAAAATGATAAAGAAACATGTTTTTTTAGTTTCTGTGGGCTCTTGGGCCTTTGGGGCATGAACTCTTGTAAGTTGTTAGCTGTCTGCCAGTTCATGTTTATCATTTGTCTGATCTCAGTATGACCATGCTGTAATGGCACTTGCCTTTGTGTCAGTAGCTCTTTAGTCTATGTTTCTGTAAAGATACAGTGGCCTGAATACTTGCGCAGGCCCTTTGAGGTAGAGCTCCACTAACAAACACCTGCATAAATGCAAAAGCTTAAAGATGTTTCTTATTAGAATGACTGAAATTCAAAACGTTTTGTAAACACTCATATGCTAACATGCCTTTTTTAGTTGAGGGGATTTCTTGCAAGCTTCCGTAGGGCTGTAGTGTAGTCTGTGTGGCCACGCTGAACTCCATGCTTTCTCCTTGATTTCCCAATCAGGGGCTGTGGACACACTGGTGTCAACCAGGAACCCCGTGGCGGGCCGGCGCCTGTCCTTCGTGAATGACCTGGACGTCACCCGCGACGGCAGGAAGATCTTTTTCACAGACTCCAGCAGCAAGTGGCCGCGGAGGGATTACTCTTACCTCATCATGGAGGGCACCGATGATGGCCGGTAATAGTCTTGCTCCGTCCGTCCGTTGTCTGACCGCCTCTGCGGTTCCGGCCCGTGGGGGCGCTGGAGCCTGTGGTGGCAAGCACTGGGCGCGAAGCAGGGTAGGCTCTGGCCCGTCCTTCACAGGGCACGTACAGGCACAGCCGCGCGCTTGCACCAGGGCCGCATGAGCACGGGGAGAACATGCAGGCTCCACACGCACAGCACGCCAGGTGTGGAATTGAAGCCAGGGCCCCAGACCTTGAGGCAGCAATGCTCATCACTATGCCGCCCGGTGCAATAACACTGAGGTTAAAGGTTGAAGAAAGTCGGATGAGCACTGTAATGGTGTTTGTCTTGACTTGAGAAATATTTAAAATATTTTATTTAAAATTAAACTTTTGGCCACTATTGGCTTCTAATGTGTTTTTTTAGACTCAGGACAAGTATTTATTGTATTGAATCCCGACTTTAATCCGTGTGTTGCTGGATTGGAATCTTTTAAAAACAAATTCTTCTCAAAGTTTTCTGATTTTTGGTTGGGCAGCTCATATGTAACTGTAGGTATTTTCATAGGACTCAATGGAGAAAATGCAAACCCCAGTATGTAGCTAGACTTAAACCTCAGCAAGAACTTATCATCTTGAATTGGCATTATGAATGCAGATTGGGTAGCTCACCAGATGGGAGGATTTCTGGATTGAAACAGTGCACATGAATGCGTTTCTTTGACCTGATGTGATTAGTGTAGTTTATTGAAGCTTTATGGCCTTTACCTCGTACTGTATCCTTGGTTGTAAAGGAAAGCCCTTTGTTCTGCTTATTCAGATGTCTCTCTGGTACATATGAACTCTAACATTAAAGCAATTGTGAAGATCTATAACAAAGCAAATCGGAAGGAAGGAACCTGGACATCTTTTCTGAAGAAGTTTCCACGGCCGAAACGTTGTGTTCTCTTTCTTCTTTTTTTCAGCATGGAATAAACCTATTACTTGTTTCTTTGCAGCCTACGCATGCTGACGCAGCTACCCACTGAACTATCTTTTCTTTGGCAGCCTCTTGGAATATGATACGGTCACCAGGGAGGTCAGTGTTCTCCTGGATGGCCTGAGGTTTCCCAACGGAGTCCAGTTATCTCCCAATGAAGACTTTGTGCTGGTGGCAGAGACAACTATGGCAAGGATACGCAGGTGTGATTTATGCAAGATTAGCACTAGGTGGCGGATTATGATTTTCCAAGATCCTTTAATAAATGCCCATGCTGTGACGCACGTTGTTGATTTTCTTTAGTGGCCATGATCTCTTGCTTGCAGTTCAGAACAGAGTGGCTCTGAGAAAGCAGGGTTTAATATGCTCCCACTGCCCATGCCGGGGTCATCAGTAAACCAACCGCTAACCACTGAGACACCATGACAATACAAGTAGTTTTTTTGCATATTTAGATAAATTGTATTTATTGTATTAGCTAATGTATATTTGCTTATAGAGAAGTTTACATTTAGCCACATTCTCCTTTAATAGAACTGGAAAAGCATCATGTTAATAATGCATCTGAGGGAAAGCCTCAGTCTTTTGTCCACAGTTAATAGTTTATTTAATCCCCTCACAGAGTAACCCCTTGAAGGTAAAGTGCTATATACCATTGCCCTAGACAGTTTGGGGGAAAAAGTGCAAGGCCTTAAATAATTATCTTTGCCCTTTATAACCAGCGTTACAAAAGCATCACAAAGTACTCGGTGTTCTCAGTAAGGCAGTGTTGTAATAGGTGATGCAAGGCAAAAGGTTGCCTAGGCAACCAAACATTCTTTAAGCAGTGTTTCCCAGCTGTATGGAAGACAGTTTTTTATTTTAATGAATAAGCGGGCTGATTGGGCAAGCAGTCGCTAAAATACCCACGTTTTTTAATCTTTTTACAGTTGAAAGGAATGATATTCAGCCTTCATGTGAGCGTCTACTGTTGAAGTGGCATTTAGGCAATTGCAAATGGTTCAGAAGTCTTGTTCTCCTGTGATGCTGTGTTAACTGGAGATAATGAAAGAGAGCACAGAAAGAAAAAGAATAAAATGTTTTAGACCTTGAGTTCACTTTAACTGTATGGTGATCACTCCACCAAAACATTTGGTTTTTGTTCTTGTTCCTAATCTACCGAGTGTGTCATTTACTTTTCAAGTGATTTGTTTTGTTTTCCATTTTTACCTAATGCAGTTCATCTTGATTGAAATATACGGTATATACGGCACTATAGACCACAAAAGCACGTTGTATCTTTGTCATTGTTGCTAGTGAAACAAGTAGGCGAGCTGTTCACAACAGATCTTTCCCAGTAATTCCACAATGTTATTGCAGACAGTCCTTAAAATTGCTCTTACTGGTAATTCCCCGGGAATTGCCACAGATAACATTCCTGCTTTCTCTTGAGGTGTCATGTGTCCGGACTGCAGAAAGGAGGAATGGAAACGTTTGCAGAAAACCTTCCTGGTTTTCCCGACAACATCCGCAGAAGCAGTTCGGGGGGTTACTGGGTTTCCATGTCAGCTGTGCGCCCTAATCCTGGCTTTTCCATGCTGGACTTCTTGGCTGATAAGCCTTGGGTTAAAAAGATGATTTTTAAGGTAAGAAACTGAGTTTACGTAAGGGAGTAGAAGGAACTTGTATTTAAAAGGGGAAATGATGGATCCTGGGCTGCAGTGTTTCTCTTGCACACTTACACAAAGTACAGGATTAGCCTAGATGCTGCTAGTTGCAGTCTGCACTGTCACCAGCTGAAGAGTCTCCATAGGGTGGTCCACAGTTGGCCAAGTGATCTGGAGTCTGGGTGGGCTTGAGTCAGTCATTTCCTCAGCAGCCCGTGAGTCAAGTGCTTCCCCCAGACCTGTGACGTGTTGAGCCTTCAGTAATGTCAATTTGAAATAAGCTAATCCAGTTAGTGCTAAATGCAGAGAGGCCTTCGCAGTCTGTCAAGGGTCAGGTCGCACGGTTCTGACTCCAGAGTATCCGTACTAGTGGAGGAGTTGGACTAGTAGCACCAGCTGACAATTGACAATTCCAACAGGAATCATAGTAACAGACATATTTTTCATAGCTTCTGAAACAAATTCTGAAGAGCTGGAAGTAATTTACTATTGATCTTAAATGGCCAGAGGCACAGTTATATGCAGTACGACTCCCATCTTTATAGATCCACAAACGTAGTACGTGCTTACTTGATTGGAAGTGATTACCTTATTTCTGCAAAAGAGATATTTTCTGTGTAAAATGTAAGCAACGAATCGCACAAAATTGCATACTTTTAAGGTTCATATGGTTGATTACTTTCCTAAAGAATGTGGAAGAATGAGTATTATGTACCGTATATTACTTATAAAAGTAATATATAAAGTCTGTGCTCTATTACACATCCCTGAGAGATGCCAGTTTTTAATTTTTCATCTGACACAATTTGTAGTCAAGTAGAAATCAATTTTTACCAGTAATTGTTCCCTCAGTGAAACAATTGATTCTATTATGCCACTAGATGGTGCTGTTGACATTTGTATGCAGATATACTGCAGAATAAACCAGGGTCGTAGCTTATTCAACATATTCAGGATTTCAGAGGCCATCTGGCATCAATTCTGCATTGTTTTTAGATGCAAAGCAAAATTATTTAATCCCTAGCCTGAACAATTCCCACAAACCCCATTCCTCTTGAACACTGTTGGAACCGAAGTTCAGTCCCACAGAGTAACAGCACATCTGTTTAAAGAGAAACCGCAAGAAGGAATTGAGGGGAATTGAGTGGAGCTGCAAATATTTCAGAACTTTGTGTAATACATGTCTCTTTCTGTTGTTCGGCCCAACAAGTCTTCGGTATTAGGCTAGTCCTAGTATTTGAACTGGCAAGTGTCTAGGTATTGATTACTCAAAGTCACGTTATTTTGTGGTTTATGCACGATTCATTTAGGAGCGCTGTACGGCGGTTGCATGCACTGTGCGTGTGGTTGAGTTGAGCCGTTGTAAACTTTGCTTGTAGATCCTCAGTCAAGAGGTCTTGATGAAGTTTGTGCCGAAGTACAGCCTCGTGGTGGAGCTGAGCGAGAGTGCGGCCTGTAAGCGGAGCTTTCACGATCCCCACGGCGTTGTGGCGACGTACATCAGCGAGGCCCACGAGCACGACGGCCACCTCTACCTGGGCTCCTTCAGATCTCCTTTCCTGTGCAGGCTGGACCTCAGTCAGGTGTGAGGACGGAGGCCTCTCGCTCTCCTGTTGCACATTGTGTTTCCCATAGTGCACTGCACCATGCCATCCATTCAAGCAGTGGTTCTCAAACTGGGGGGCACGCCCTCGCTGGGGCAGGGGGGATGCAGTGCTTCTCGGAGGATTAAGGGGAATAAAATGTTACCACGCGCTTCATCTGCAACATCGAGCCACTTAATCAAATCTTACTGATGGGTTCAGGCCCTTCGCAGTTTCTAGATGACACATTATACACTTGACTGATCTGCATGAGGCTGGGCTGGTTCAGCAGACAACAGACTTCATCCAAAAAGTAATTCTCTTTGGTATGCACATGCATGAAAATCACAGATAATGAAATTAACACATTTTTATGCTCTGTGATTTATCCATTTTTCTGTTTCCCAAGACGCTGACATATCTAACATGCAAAATTTATACTGGGGAACAATTTGAATTTATCAGTTTTTGTTACAGTGGATGCAAGCATTTTTGCTTGGATGGCTACCTATGGAACGTACGTACAGAACTGAAAAGGTGATGCTTTTAAAGATATATTCTCAATTATGTCTGGAAATTCTTATCAGACGAGGGGAAGAATAGCTAACCAAGCCAAGCAGCAGTAACCTTGGTACAACGATCCAGTACAGTTAATCAGATAAATAAAAAAAAAAGTTTTCCTAGTCTCAACAATCAACAAAGTCTTAATCTTTCATTTGCATTTGATGCAATAAAGCCCCTTTTCTAGGTGTCTTTGTATTAAAAATCACTTACTTCTTTTGATGAAAACTAGCCCCGTGTGAGGGGTTATTTGCCATTCTCCATCGCCAATGCGACGGACCGCTGACTTGCTGGGGTAGAGAAAACCGCTTGCTTTGGAATAACGCTCTACGTTTACGGGCTTATGGCAGTTGTTGGATTTGGTATGAGTGTAAGTGTGGCTTTATGGAGGAACTGGTCGTTGATTTGCCAAACTCTGTAGTTAATCTGGGAAGTATACCCTGCTACCTGACACCATGTCTTATTTGCAGAAACAGGTGGAAGAGATCCTTGGATCATTTAGCTACAGACTACCGAAAATGCGAGGCAGGCTCAACTATGTAAGCTTTCATATGTTCCTATAGTCATCCAATTATCCACTGGATTTTCCTAGATTTTTGGCTTTGAGCAGCTTATGATGGCAGTAGTGACACGGTTACTGTCCACTGTATCGTCAGTTGTCTCATCTGAAACACAGGAGATAAAAACTGCTGAAAAGCAAACACCTTCCAGAGTGAAGATATGGGAAGCACACTTTACAGTAAAAGTCCATAGTACAATAGAAAATAAAATGGTTATAAAATAGAAAACATATTTGGCAAAGGGAGAACAAATACAGAGCATGTTGTAAATGATGTCCTGAAAAGTGCGGTAGTTAGATTTTTCATAATAGGAGCGCGGCTTGACATTACAGAACAGAAAGAGAAGGGTGTGCATGGAAAAGTCTGAGGACCAGCGTTTGAAGTTAAAAAAAAAAAAAGCCAACCTGTTTCAATGTTTTTTGAAACGTAGGTGTGTTTCTTTTTTTAATGGTGATTCACAAACCCCCCCCTTTTCATTTCTGTTACTATGAAACACTTCTTCCTCTTTGTTGAAAGAGGAGAAACTACAACACCAAAAAACAGTAGCCTTGTTATTCCTTTCCGATTCCCTGATTTATTGGTTAGAAAGACACTGGCACGGGAGTAATATTTTTTTGCTCACCTGGAGCATGTTAAGAATTGGCACTACATCCCTGTGAGCTTTTCCGTAAAAGAGCTCTGATTCAACATCTGGTTTGAAATGTTGACTTAATAGAACAGAAAGGCACCTTTTCTGCTGTCTCGTTAAGGCACAAATTGCCATTTACATGTAAATGTTGAGAATGTCAGAAATACTTGAATCGGGAAGCTGTCATGTGTTAAGCTAAAAGCACGTTGTCTGCTTTTAACATCGTCTTCCAAATGTTTGTTTGGGAACTGATTTTTGAAGATTGTTAAAGCACTGAAGAGAAAGAAGTCTCCGATGCTTGAGACGTACATCAGTATAATGTGAATAATGGATTATAGTGAACAAGACGTCACTATAATCCATTACCTAAATATTGTCATAGTCCTTTTTCCTATTTATGTGGATTTAGTTTTGTCATATTAATCTTATTCAAGCTGCCAACTGCTGATTCTTGTACTGTATATAGTGTTTTATTCTATCTAAGTAGGATTTATATAGAGAAGCAGTATTAGAGTCTTAGTAAACTGGCTGACAATGCTTTACAAGCCTCTGTTCATTCTGCTTTAAAACAGAGTCTGGTTAACCAAGTCTGTTTTGGGAGCAAATTAGTACAATTTGTACAATAATAAATAGACCAATCTGATTTCTACTAATTTTTAAAAATTCCACTCTACTCTTAGTTATACTAAGTAGTCACATCAGCTATTCGTCTTTTCCTGTTCAGCAGTTTCTGCCTTGTCGTCTGACCTTTTTTTAGGCAGAAAGTGGTTTTCGACTGTATTCTAGTAATCGCACAACAATGCATAGAGTTGATTAATGTCCTCAAAACAGACTTTTTAAATGACGTTTCTATAGTTCCTTTGCTTTTTTTGATTAAATCAGGTTATATTGCGTTTTTTCTGTGTATCTGTGTGTAACATTGTGCTCTGACAGTCTTGGTGCCTCAGAACGCAGCCTCTGAAGATGGCTCCCTAGGTAATGAGGTATATTAACGATTAATGCCATGTGGAGTTCAGAGCACAGTGCTGTGCACATAGTGTGGGTTGTGGAGGGATGCGTGATGCTAGTCACTAACCTAAATATCAAGTCAAGATCTGTTGTGGGCAAGCTGAGTTTGCCAAGAAAAATGGCAAAACAACCTTGGTATCAGCAACAAGAATTATCATTGGTTAGCCATTAGTAAAATAATTGTAAGGATGTTCCCTGCGCATCTTACAAATATGCTATTTCACTTTGTCTACACTAAGTGCTTTCAAAATGTTTTGCTCCAGTGCTAAATATGCCGGATTTTCCTGATGATAAACCAATAGTCACTTAGATTACAGTGTTCCTTTAAAAGAGATTATAACACATCACTTAAAATAAAGGAGTCTTGGAAGTGATGTCATACATTTGTCCTTACATTCATTTGCAGCTCTGTTACAGGTAGAGCAGTAAATGTTCAGTACTTTTCTGAAGAATTCACTTGCCTATGCATGCATTTGTAGCAACAGTAAATGTCCATTACCTACAAGGAGTGTTCACTAGGTTTCCTCCTTGACTTTGTAGTACAGTCATGCATAGACAGAACCATTTTCTTCAATGCTCCTGTTATTATTTCTGATCCTGTCATGACTAGTGCCTTTAAATGCAAATCCCTGATAAATTAATTCTGGGTTTGTTTATTTGAGCAATTCGATATTTGTGCTTTCTGACTAAGGTACTGTATGTTTGACAGTACAGTAGAACAAGGCTGGTGTGCTCATGCTTTACAATGCCTCAGATTGTAGTGACGAGGCTATTGCTAAGAAAATAGGAGCTTGCTAAAATTAAAAATAATGAAGAAGGTAGATTGGCCCAAATAAAAACTGAACAATTACTGCTTTAATTACAAGAGTTCAGAACAGGGGATAGTCTATTAGGATCCTTATTTTCACAGAGTAGCTGTGGTCAGCCATGACTATTTAGACAGGCCAGGAGTTTCTCATCTTTAGATTTCAAGACAAGACTCTGCTTGCTGACCTGTAGTGCCTGTTGTCCTGCTGTGTGTTCATAGCAGATCTACTGTATCTGTTACTTCCTTGTCAAGATGAATTAGCTTTCTAACATGTCTGGCGGGGTTTCTCATTGCTAGGAGACGTGTGGTTGAACTTCTGCTCCACACGCACAAACAAGAGCTCAGTAATCCAGGAGTTCTGTCTGTCCTGGGCAAGGGAAGGGACTGTCATGATCAGGTGGTATATTGTTGCAGTCTTGGATTGAAGTTCAGATGCAATTGCATCAAGACTGTTATAACAATCCCTGTGAGCATCTGAATTTTGTTAGAGGGGGGAAAAAAAGCTTCACTGTAAAGTTCTCGTCATTCCTTAAACGAACTAAAATGGGATTGCATCAAAACAGTGAGAAATAAAATTAAAAAGAAGAGTTTGGGTGTCTGCTGTTTTTTTTCCTTATAATGTTGTAATGTTCTGTCTGACCTTAAATTAGAATGGATGTCATTTTGAAACTCTGTGTTCGAGAACGATGACTTTTGGTCGAGTGTACTGCATGTGCTTTCTTTTAAAGCATTGTCGGAATCAGTCGGCAGCAGTGAACACAACCTGTACTTTGTAAAGCACGCATTCTTTATCTTTATATTCATTCCAGGGTGTCTGAAAGAACATCATTTAAAACAAAAAAAACTGTACCCAGGGTCGTAATGCATTAGCCGGCAGTGTTCCCAGCAGCACCAGTTTACTGAGGGACCGTTAACATTACTGCAGTAAAGTACTGTAGAAACAAAATGTTCTTCGCTTTGGCTTTTATTTGTATTGCAAAGAAAAATGAAAGTTGGATTATAATGTACAGTATGCTAGTGGTTATGTTTTAAATTACATAAATAGTTTTTTTTTTACCAGCAGAACCAAGAAACCCTCCAACCCCTCATAAAATATTCCCTCTTGAGATAGGTTACAGTTTATAAAAATCCTTTATAGTGCAATTCCCGTGTTTCTTTGAATAAATTCATGAAAGGTCTTCACTCCAAACTGTCTGAATAAATGTGTATGGTACATGTTAACAGGTACTCCAGAGGAAGCTCTTCTCTCTTCTGCAGTAGCTTCAGCTGCAGCTCTCAGGGCAGACACAGAAAAAAGGTGGCTTTCATCCAGCTGAGCCATGGTATGCCCCAGACTTCGAAATGGCAGCGAAATGTCTGCGGCACAAAGGGGAAAATGTTTTGTTACTGTTATTGCTAGACTATGCCCTATGCTCTCATAACTGTGGCTGAAAAGCTGTTCAACACATTTGTGTTCTCTCAAATTGACTACTGTAATGCTCTACTCACTGGGGTTTCTAAATCTACTTTGAACAAACTGCAGTACGTCCAAAATTCAGCAGCCAGAATCCTGACCAGGTCTAGTGCAAATTATAACATTACTCCTATCCTGGATTCCTTGCACTGGCTTCCTGTCAAATTCCATGTGGACTCACCTATAAGGCTCTGCATGGCTTGGCACCTCAGTACCTGTCTGAACTATTATCGCCCTACTCCCCACCTCACAACCTTCGCTCTTCTAATTCTGGTCTCCTTACTGTCCCCCAAACCAGTTTACATTGTATGGGTGACAGGGCCTTCTCCTGTTATGCTCCCAAGCTCTGGCACTCTGCCCAAGGATATCAGAGAGCCACCTTCTCTAAACTCATTCAAATCCAGACTCAAAACCTTCTTCTTTAGAAGAGCCTTTACTTAACTGGTTCTATTCTTCACCCCTCTGCTTTTCTTAATACCTCTATCCACGGTCTCCTCTATATATTGTAGTTGTGTTTTATCTTGTGTATTCTTATTTATTGTTGTTGTCATTCTGTAGAGTGCTTTGAGAAGCCACCTTTAAAGACTCTTTATAAAATAAAGTTGATTATTATTAGTGGTCAGTAATGATGACTCCAGTTTCATTTTGGCAAGCAAGATTGAAAAGAAGTGCTGAAACCATATAAAAGATAAGGGCAGGTGCCCAGTGGGGACTGGGACTTCAGCCCCGATGATGGGGAGGCAGTGTCTTGCCCTTTGCAAGCTCTCTGTCTTTTTTCTTCAGGGGCACTGCTGGCCCTGACCGAAGATGTACCTGGTGCAGTTTCCCATGTGGCTGAAAGTCACAGTTGTCCAGACTTGGGTGGTCTGTCTTGCGACACACAGTACGCGAGATCTTCACCTCTAGAAAGTACTTTATTCCTTTTACAACCTACAATCACAAAATGTTAAAGACACTTAAAAACACTGGTTAGCATTAGCCCCCAAGCAGGCCTCAGTAGATACTGTAGTATCCTGAAAGACTAATATTCAGTCATCTTTCACACAGAAAACAAACCCAACCGTATACCATGTTGTTTATGAGTAAGTTCCTACCTGGACTTTCAAGTGTGAGCTATAAAGCTATGCCTTATGAGCCATCGCTGGGTTCACGTTAATCCAAAACATTCTTCTCATCTCTTAGCAATAGATATATAACCATCCATTACAGTGATGAGCCCCCAAATTAAAAATTATTCTTAAGTATTCATTTAGGCACAAATATTATAGTAATTGTGTAAATCTTTACTAGAGATTTAATGAGATTTAATTCAGTTCTAATTCACAAAAAAAGGGTGGTATGTCCAGTAAAATAAAAGGGTTATAGGTAACTGTTGAGAATGACGTACCTTGATGTGCTGTTTTAATCAGACAGCCTCATAACAAATGTGAACATTATCTTGTAAAAAAGGTATTTTTAGAGCTGAAAGCTTTTGCCATCAAAGCATGTTTATAATGATGCTGTTTTCTTTCCCCAGGTAGTAGCAGGGGCTCTGCAATTTAACATCAGATTGTTTTGAATTATGTTTCTCCTAAGAATATAACCCTTAACTTCACGTGGACTGAGTCGTACCTGTTTCTGTGCGTCATCAATGGAAGAGGCCTTGAACAAATAGATATCATTTGATTTGTTGTTGAATGCATAGGTGGATATTTTTACAGCTTTTTGAACTCCTGGGTCGTTCTTACTGACATGCTCAGCAGATCCAGGTTTGGAAGGTGTGGTCTGACTTTGCCCATACAGAAATCCTGAAACAGAGAACAGTAAGGTTATCGAAGGCTTCGTCACTGTATTTGGTCAAAGTGATATTTTAGCAAGGGTTCTTTGCATTTGTAGAACCTTAGCTTTCTTGCCTTTTCTCAAAAGTGCCACTTTTATTCAAGCAGTCAAACAGTATTAAGAACAAAAACCGTTCTGTAGGACATTAAGCTTCAGCGTGGTTTCTGTTTAGCACCTCAAATGTTTGCTCAGTTTATGATGCACGATTGTCATTCACTCTATTCCCTTTTAATGCTAATGTCAACAGCACAGAAATACAGGACAGGAAGAGTCTCAACACAATGAAAGTGGGCTCAGATTTCAGGTTTCGCCTAGAATTGTCTCCCCAACCAAGGCCTACACTCCACAACATCAAGCAGGAAAGCCACATCTGGTGCAAATGGCGAGATGGTAGAACCTCTCGTCGCCTTTCTTTTACACCATTTGCTCAGTTAACCTCGTTGTTGCACTGTAGTTTGCAAAATTAAGAATCAAGAAACATATCCAGCAGAGGCTCTAACAAGGGAGTAGATGGTCAGTTAAGAGAAGTACTCGTTCAGTGGTCGTCAGTTTACATGGTAAATTCTGTGAGCTGCTGCTAAGTAATTATTGACAAAGTTGTTACTCTCTTACCATGAGAAGAAGCAAAGTAGCCCAGAGCACACAGAAATATCAGTCTTTCACCAACAGCCATTCTTGTCCGTGTTGTCGGCAGCACTGACACACTTCCTGCCTGGCAACACTTTTAACCACGTACAACATCTCTGCACGGCTCTGCAAAGTGTCTTTGTCACTCCCTGCAGCCCACTAGCTTAGAAATTACTGGTGCTGTATAAGAGCAAATACCTCTAAACCAAATGCTTTCTTAAAAAAAAAAACTTGAATTAGCAGTTTCAATTCTTCTTTTTCATCGATCTTCAGCCCATTTATACATAATGATGATTTTTAATGATTGAAGTCCATATCAATCTATGCGGTTGTTTCAGTTGGAGCTTCTTCAGCTTTGTTCATTTGCTGCTTTTACAAATAACTGCAGAGCACGATTTAAAGTAGTTTATCAGTCAATAAAGTATGTCCAGTACCTTATTTAATTAATAAAATCAATTTTTATTTGATTGGAACTTGATCTTTCAGTCTCCCACATACAAGGCCAGTGCCCTATACATTATTCCCTTCTACAATGTTGGAGAAACCAGGCCTTACGATATGCTGAGCCATCAATCATCCATATATTCTAGGTGTTATTGATTAACAGTATCTACGGTAAGTCTACAGTATGTTTTCCAATAGAAGAAAGCTGGTCTGCCTCTCTTTCAGTCAAATTTTAATTAAAATGTTACACTAAATTTCTTTCAATTGCCACAGACACAGGAGGGCATATTTCCCGCTCCTTCAGAATGGGGATCACGTCTGTTTTATGGAGTTTTCTCGGTACGTTTGAAAATATTAACTCGGCAGGATTATATTTCTAAAACTGCAGGTACGTTTGTTATTGCAGCAGTTTCTGCTTTGGGAATATTAAAACAATCCATGGATTTAAATGTATGCGTGTCATCTGATTTACCTTTTCCCCACAAAAAATAGGCAAAACATATTGTCATCAAAAGCATCCTGGAACAAGACTGCAAGTCAGTTTTGCTTTGAAAAAAACCATAGCCAGGAGTGGTTACTGCCACTTCCTCTCTTTAAACTGAAGAGAAACCACAGAGAGCCGTTTTTTGTAAGTATTGCTCAGAGGTTCACAGTATTTCACTTTAAACCGTCGCTATTGCTGCAATTAAAGTAGCTAATTTTACTTTGGTTCTGATATGTCATTTTAAGTATTTCGTCTCACCTAAGGATGCAGAAAAACAGAATTATCTTTGATCTGGTATACAAACTCTTTTTCCTTTCTTTTCTGTGATAAATGTAGCTTCAGCTCTCAAAGCTAGTCATGTTTGATACTGTAAGTTAAAGTTAACAAGCACATACTGATTGCACAATCACACTAGAAGGCTAACAGTTTTGGCAACTATTTATAACCATATTATCATTTGTTTATTACGCCTTGGACAAAATCAAATAGAACTTTTTAAAATATACTTAAAATATATTGTAAAAATGCTTAAAATGAAAGATTTATGGAAATTAACAAAATTAATTTAAATAAACATCATAAGGTCTCTATTTCAATATATACTGATATGCAATGAAAATGCACAAGTATCCTATTTAAAATGTAAAAACCCTGACCTGAGGGGAGTTTATGGGGATGAGTGCTTAAAAAGTGCAATGTCTGTGGGGTCGAGAACAATGCCTTACAGTAGGGCCCAACCTGTACCACCAGCTCGGTCTGCTCTGCCTTTGAAAGACCGTTTAGAGTTTTATATGGAATTTCAGTTAGCGGCGCACACACACAAGTTGTGTTTAATATTATCTTTAGATGAAGACATGATACACTAATACACTTGGAGTGAACTGTTAAGCTGTCTTTATAATTAAGAGGTTCCCCATCGGTTGCTTCATGCACAATTATGATAAGATGATGAACGCTCACTGCCGACGATTACAAATCCCCTGTGGACTCTGCTGGGATAAATTGGTCAAACATGAAGACAATGGAAGAGCTACAAGCAGATCTTTCACTGTTGACTCTGTAAACTCCCAAAGTCTCTATGGCACAATACTGTATATCCCCAACCGCCACAGAGAGCAAAACAGTAACATTATGCATCTTTAAATAATCACAGAAGTGATCGTTAGGTTACTGGCTGTGATGTTTGTTGCCTGCAGCAGTGAACTCTGGGAGTCTCCTCTTCTCAGGCCTTAGATTACATTTTGCTGGTACTTTAAGATACAAAAAGGCAAACTGTTGGATTGCTCAAGAGCAAAAACAAATAGACTTTTGCACTGATTTCATGGCATCATGATTTAGGGAAGTAGTTCAAGTAGGGAGCTGTGTCAACATGCAAAGGAACAAGTAAAGGTTTATTCCATGCTGAAAAGAGAAGAAAAGAAACAACGTTTCAGCTGTGGAGCCTTCTTTGGGTGTCACCCGAAGAAGGCTCCACAGCTGAAATGTTGTTTCTTTTCTTACATTATTGAATATCAATGTAACAACAGGATGAGTTCAAATATTGCATTGCCATATGTGAGCAGAATACAGTGTCAATTCTCAGGGTGTTTCATTCTGAACAATATGTTGATTCAAGCAATTGAGAATGCTGTGCACAAGATATGCAGAGAACTGTACAGAGCAAAATATTCTGAGAAGATTTAAACCTCTTTAAAATGACCTATGATCTAAGATACTGGGCATCTGTGAGTTTCTTAGCAAAGTTACATTGTTTTAGCAATGAAAACAGTGACAGAAACAGAGGCACAGCAGGGCTTGTCATTCAGACAGAGGAGCACAGTTGTGACACGTTTAAACTCTAACTGCGGTGCTTGTCAGTAGCAGGCAGGGCACCGCTTTCATCTTAACTCCGGCAGAGAACATTTAGTGTTTGTGTAAAGCAGTGGAATCTGGTTATAGGAGGAAGCCATTCATCGAGCTGATAAGCCATAAGAAAGTTTCAGTCAATTGCATAAAGAGTATGGTGGTGAAATTACAGGTATATCATTAATCTTCATGATGTTGTCAGAGGAAAAACACAGTTGTACAAAGACAACATTGAATTTTTTTCCAACTTTGTTTGGGCATAGGCTGGGTTAACTGGGATACATCAGAGTAACAGAGCTTCTGGCTATTGGAGGAGAACAGTACCTAATACAGAGCCCATCCCATACTCTACTTATTTTCAAAACACACAATATTAACAAGAACAATCACAACCTTTGTAGCGGTGTGGCAGTGGGAGGAGCACTGTACACGTTGACGTGGAGGAGGCAGGAGGCGGAGGCCCTGGTGTGAGGCCAGCGAGAACAGGGGGAAAAAACACAGAAGAGGGCAAAAACGCAAAGGAACAATCGGCGGCGTCCAGACTAGACTTACCCTATTTAACAGGGTCCAGTCTGGAAGAGCAGGGAGCACAAGGCCAAAACAAAAAGAAATTCGGCCAGGACACCAGGGGAACACGCCCCTATGCTATTGGAGAAACACCCTGGGATTTTTAATGACCCCTGTCAGGATCTCAGTTTCACGTCTCAGCTGAAGGACAGCGCCCTTTTACAGTCCAGTGTCCCCATCACAAAAGAGTAAACTGCTGTTGCTTCATTTTACAGAACCCGTTCTGTCACTGTGAAGTGCTACAATATAATTATATATTACAAAACTGCCAGGTGCCCACAGTGCACTCAGATAACCCAGGTTTTGAGTGTTATCATGGAACAAATTACGTAGTGAAGAATGACTGAGAAGAAAAAGACATTCACTGACAGATGGCAATGTGCATTAATGATATTTATTCTACAACTGCTACTTTTTTTGCAATTCCTGTTCTTTTGGTTTGAGCTGGTAGGCCCAAGACATATGCAAGCTGCCACACAGTTGAAAGAATTGTTCATGCTGCTGTCAGGGTTACTGCTGGACTGGCACACAGATTCAGAGCTATGATAAACTATTCAGTGTGTTGCAATATGCAACGTAATGAGAATTAAACTAAAAGCATCCACAAAGAACATGCTTCTACTGTGCCTCTCCAGAAAATTTAAAGTTTATCATGTTGTATTATGGGTCCAATGTTACCCAACAAGGACTCATTGGGTAGGATCAATGTGCAATGGGCAATGTGATTTAGAAACAGAACTGTATAAATCCTCCTTCAACTTTGTCCTCTGCACTTTTCCGCAACAGTGAACTTTCAGGCTGATCTCACTAACTCTACTGTCCTTTCCTCGGCTTGACTGTCAGAGTTTATCAAACACATCTGACCCTTTTAGGAGCATATGTTCGCAAAATTGCTACCATTAATCTTTGTGAAATGAAATTCTTACGGGACACATCTGAATCAAAAAGTGCTGCAATGTTATTGACCCACAGTGTACGAGATATGAGGCACTTCTGGGGAAATGAAGAATCCTATATCCTAGTCCATTAGTTTATTCATAGATAAAAAGCTATTGGGGAAATCATGCATGTAGGAAGGGCATTTGTTGTCAGCAGTACAGGTTTCTTTCAGACTTATTCCTTAAGTGTTCACACTGATTGTCTCCTTGAGAATCATATCAATTTTATTTTTAATTTTCTTGGCTTGTGCTTTTATTTAAAGCAGCTCCCATTTGTGCACGCTCACACAGCTGGATCTGCGCCGAAACAGTTTGAGCGAAGCGTCATGCTCAGTGATGCAGTAGCAGCACCCCACCTCCGATTTCAGCCCACAACTTTCCAGTAAGTCTGGGACCCCTAATCATTACTCCACTGCTCGGGTTTTTCACCTTGATCAAAGCTTCTCTCACTAGGTGCCAATGAAAGACTGGCATTGCTTGTACAGTATGATGCATGGCTTTGCTCACGGCATCTCAAGCCAATCACGAATGCCCATGCTTCATTTCTTTACAGCCAGTAACTGCTTAATTCTTCCCTCCCTGAAAGCCATTGAAAAAGCAGTCAAGTCTCCTCTCTGAATATACAGGCAATATGATAAACTTAGAATAGCTCCTGAAATTCTAAGACAGGGCTCTGTAATTCTTGTTTCACTGATCTGTACTTCATGAAGACCTTCATGAGGCAATGTTACCATACACTTAGATACCAACAAATCGATATAGTTGCAAATGAATATAATATAGGTCTCTCTGTAGTGTATTTGATGTTACTGAGGAAAAGAGGAACATTTTGATTTATTTTAGGTTTGTTTTGTAGATATCTGGGACCCAAAAGAAATTTTCAAATGATCCGTGCAAACTAGATTGTCACATTGTAACTACTGTCAAATTCTAGTGAATGAAATGGCCATTCCTTTAGTCCCAACAAAATGTTCAAAAGGAACCAAATAATTGTTTTTTTTTAATAATGAGAAAATGTCAATTTCTTGGAAAAAAAAGAGAAAGAGAAATAAAGAAAAGGAAAAACTATTTCTGAACAGTTAAGCATCTGCGTAGCTTTGGGGAGTACGAGTACATTAAGTTTTATTGTCTTCTCAATGTCTGCTCCGACATTCGTAATGGAATGCTGATGAAAGCAAAGTTCTATCCTGGACAGAATGTTAAAGATGAGCAATAACAAAAAAGGCAAAAGTGCTGGTAAGAAAGTAAAGCAATAAAGTGAGAAATTAGATAAGATAACCACCATGTTCCTCTAGCATGTAATTTGTGTAGACTCTAGAAAAATGCAGTGTCATGAATTATTTTTCTCAGTGCAATATAGATCCAGATGGTAGTGGTTTATGTGTAAAAACATTAAAGTGTAAAAGTCTTGCAAGACCATCACCAAAGAATACATTGTGTACTCAGGTCATGCAGCACATTTCCTTGCTATTAAGTGGGTTCCTCTGAAAGGAATAATATTTAGTCGCTATCTTGACATTAGAACATTAGAAATGTTACAAATGAGAGGAGGTGATGTAGCCATTTGGTAGCTGTAGTTGATTTATGCAAGATCTCATCCAGCAGTTTCCTGAAGCCACGATTTTTTCCACACCACCTCAACCTTCTGTGTAAAAAAAGTACCTCCTGTTCCTGTATGCTTTTTTACACAAAACATTCTTAAAACTTCTTCCTAGAACTAGCAATGAAGATACTGAAGATAGGGGATTACCACTGTGAAAACACTCGAACTTCAGGAAGTACTGTATACTACTTTAGCTTCCTTTTCCACTTACCAGGGTTATGAATGCCAGATGTCAAAGCAGGAAATTAACCTTTCCAGCAACATGCAATGCAGAATATGACCACATGTACTGTTATCGAGAGCATCATCAGATATGGTATAACAGTGCGGTTTGGAAATTTATCAGTTCAATTAAGATCACAAATTACCTGTCTCATCCAAACAGTTTTGAAGGTCATGGGAGTGAAGCAGCACCCCTCCCTGCAGACAATCTCTGAAAAAGAAA